TCAAAAATTGCTGTAATGTATTTCTATTCATTGATTAAAAATTTCTCTGTAAAATAAATGCCAAGTCTATAATAACAACTGTTGCCCTAATTAAACACTTCTATTTCTGATAGCCATAATCCTCTAAAAGAGAGATGATTTAGATTTGCTATGCATGGCTTTCCAAAAAAGAAGTTATCTCTGTTTTAGCATCTCAGACGTCGTCTTTTCAGGCAGAAACACTAGAAAACTGTCTAACAGTCTCTTTTCATACTGATCTTTAACAGGAAGAGAGACCTGGTCCAAACACCATCAGAGGCACAAGATCATAATGCAGCCAGTAAATAAAACCTCAAGAAGAGCGCCGAGATGCTCACCATCTGGGTCAGGCAATTGGAGTGGGATCAATGTCAGATATAAGTAAATGAGAAGGCAGAAAAGGAGAATTGTGAGCACTAAGCAAAGAAACCTATAATGCACTTCTTACAAAGCACTGTAAAATTCACATTTATTTTGTAAGTATGAGATAGATGGGTTATTTCTACATACAGAGGTGCCCAACTAAAATCAAGATAAGTGATATTAATGTCCTATGGTCAGTATTATTGAACCTCGAAAGCAATAAACTATGAGTCGATAAATATTACATTTGCAACATAGTTAACATTCTTCTACTGTCTCTGGCACTTATTACACATTGTAACCGCAAGTCTACAATACATTATTCATATTTGGGGTGTCACTGAGTGATGGATTGCTGTAAGAGAGGCTGTCCTTTAAATAAATCAACAAATAAAAATGCAAATGTTAACATTTTCAGCCACAACTTTTTCCATCTTGAATGGGGAATGAAAATTTCACATTATATCGACAGCCAGCAGAGAGAACAATTAACAACCTACACTGTGAATAAGAGAGATTAATTTGCCAACGTCTGGTTTTATCACTTGCATATGGAACTATATTGGACTTTTTGTGCTGCTGGCTTTCTCAGGGAGTAGGCAAAACTTGCATCTCCTACCATGTTCACTACCTAACTCACCACCCCACTCCAAACACACTTTTAATCCCTTTAAATGTTCCTAAGTTAGATCTGGAATAAAAGCTTTCTCCTCATCATCCTCCTTTTGAATCTTGAATGGTGCCTGATCCTAAGGGGAAAGAACAAATACCAATTTCTTTGGCACTGCTTGCTTAGACTCTACAGTAGAGGGAACTTCATAGTATCGTCTTGAGAGCAGAACCATATTTAAGCATCCAACACACACAGAACTGAAAGGCAACTACCGCATAAGTAAGACAAAAGTTTAAATCTCATCACTGTCGTATTTCCTAACACTCAGCATAACAGATCTACTCTAGACTATTCCAGTGTGCATTATTAAGTATACAACTCTGCACATTATATTTTACATCAGATATTAATTTGCTTAAAAGTCCCTGAATACACATTCACCTGAGATGTGCTGGGCAATTGGGTAAATAGTTTTGTTTTTAAAATGTCCCTAAACACAAATTTACACAATACAATCTGTTTATAAAAACTCCAACAGGCCACTGTAGTCTAACAGATAATAATATAGCTTGAATATGGTATTCATATTGCAGGAACTTCTAAATCATTTATTTTAATGGCTACAAGAAACTTCTCTCCAAGACAATGAGTTCAGCCAGCATTAAAGCTCTGATTTAAAACTGCAACAAGAAAACATAGGCTTAATGCTGAAATCCTGGACTATCACTCAATCACTTAATTTACCTAACTGTTCTTAAATTCACTTCTTAGATGCCCAAAGTGAAAAATGTTACAGGAGAATTATCTGTTTCCATGGTGAGCAGAACACCCTTTGCCTGTGTCTTTTTAAGTGCTTGATTATCTGCAGTGTTATAGGACCTACTGTGCCAAACTCAACACTACAACTGTTTCTGCGTGGGGAGAGTCTGACAACTGCACCAGGGCTGTAATCAAATTAAATGGTCTTTCACAAGGAGCAATTTACAACACTTATTTTTTAAAAAAAGAATAGCTTAATACTTTGATTTAGAGCAGTTTCAGTTCTGTTTTGCAACACAACACTTGTTTTGCTGAAATCAGTACCTGATTATACCCAAGGTAAGATCTAGTTTATGTAAAAACTTCTTCATTTCTCAATGAAAGCATACAAATGCCCCAACCTCCCCTTTCCAGCTCACAGCCAACACCCAGGGTCTTTCTTCTAGGCAAACAGCAGTTTTGAAAAAGATGTCCCTGGTCACCAAAAAGGTTTAAGATAGTCAGAGGAACTATGCTTCAGGGGTAAGGAACAAACTTACTCTTCCAAATTTGCCCAGCCCCAACCTTGCCTGTGATTTTTCTTCCAAATATATCGGCTTTGGTCTAGCTAAATAAGCATGTGGAGTAGAAAAGCTTTCCAGACCTGCTGTGAACATAATTTCAAGGAGCTCATGCAGGTGTGGACACTTTGCTTAAGAACACTGGATAACCAAACATGCAGTGCTTTGGCTGTATTATGGAAAGCAGCAACAGTCATGCATAGAAGCATGACAGGCAAACAAATCCACTACTAGCCCAACTAAGGATGCCAGATAAAGAAATACTATTTTTCTTTCAGAGATACCACAGAAACCACCTTGTGGACATTCACTCTGCAAGTCTGGTCCTTCTACAGGTCTAGCACTAAGGCTCTCAAGGCACACACCTTTACCTTCTAGGGACACTTATTTCTTGTCCCAGACATGATTCATTCTGAGAGAGAGAGAAGAAAGCAGGACTGCAGCGATTCGTCCTCGAGCAGGAGGTAGCTGCAACACACTGAAGCCTCCGGTTGAGCCCTGCCAAGACAGGCTATCAAGCCAACGCATCTTCTACCTGCCATGCCTGCTTATCCAGCCAGCCCTCCCCAGAAGCTGCGCTAGCACCCTGATGCCTTGCGCTGGCAGGGAGCTTCTGTCGCTTTCCAACACCTTCTCCTTGGCAGGCTTTCCATTGCTGCTACTGCTGGGTGCCAGGGTTTGTGCTAGTTAAAGCTGGCACAAACATGAGTTGAATCTAGTCCTATAAATTTAAATAGTCAAAAGTAATTAGGTTTACAAGTACTGCCGAATAAATAAATTTGCTCTTAGGCTAGGGCTTTGTGCTGCAAGTTTCAGACCCGTGCCAACTGTTGTGGTTAAGCTGTTAACTCCCCCCAAATCACAGATTATAACAAACATGCTGACAAACCCTAACTTCAGTGGCACAAAAGCAGCAATAATTCTCAATATTGATTAATTTAGTTAGTTAAACCTGCAGTCTAAGCTTATAACCATTCAGTGATAAATTGAGACTGACCTGCTGCCCAAGCAGGTTTTTTGATGAAGGATAGGATCAGGTTTAGGTCTCCACAGAAATACTTGTCCATTTACCATTTTCAATTAGAGAAGGCCATGAGTAAGGGAAAGCACAACATGGCTGCTTAAACTGGTCAATTATACTTACAGCACCAACGGAGAGAAAGAAAGTGAGGAAGCATGGAAGACAGCACCCCAGAAATATAGGATTTTTCAAAATTTGTCATCAACTAGTAAAATAAACCTTTAAGGATGACAGCTAATCAGACTCGTTTTACTGATCACTTTATCTGATATGATTTCTAACAGCATATTTCAACAAATATTTTACTCCCCTCTGTGGAAAAGAATGGACCATCAATCCTCTTGAATAAAATTCCTTTTTCTGAGCAGTTGTTGTATGATGTGAATAATTATATCTACTCCTCAGTGCTTGAATGGAATCTCAACTTATCACTATTAGACGGTATCAAGCAGTATTTTTACACACTCTTTATCTGATATTACCATCTTGCAAAGGTAACCTGCGCTTCTAAGAGAAATGCCTAGGCAATCTTGTGGATTCTGTTTGTTTAAACATACAGTTACTTGTGGGAAACAGAGCCCAATCTATCTCAGTTCTTAAATCCTCCTAGAATTACCATCCCTTCCTTCAGAAGAAAAAAAAAAAAAAAAGTGTTTCCATAGCAAGTCAGTACAAATTTGTCAATATTGATAGTGGTTTTTCACCTATTATATATCGCAAGTTCTCTCAGAAGATAGAAATAAACTGCCAGCTGCTGCCAAGAATACAGGGATGATATCAAGCATACATTTTCTTAGTCCACTGGGCCAAGAGAAGATTAAATCTGACTCAAGGCCTCTCATTCTCCAAGAAACATTTAACTCTTCTTATGAAGAGTCATACATTCTTGTCATCCCACTGCACAAAGTCATCTAACTAGTGGTATAAAATGCAGCAAATTCATGCTTTAATCTGCGTTTACTTTGTTGCTTAATTAAAGATTTTATTATGAGAAAATGTGGGGTATGATAAAGGAAAGCAAGGATTGTATGCTGGTTTTCAAGGCACTTACCTCTAGAATTGTAATCCTGCCTAAAGAAGGCAAGTTGCTTTTAGATTCCTAAGTCTAACAACAATGCTGCTTTCTGTTTCTTCATTGGAGCAGAAGTGATAATGCTGCTTTTCCAGTGCATTTAGTGCAGATATATAGTATAATCAGGAATTGCTGACTTAATGTGATTTTGTTGCTTGTCATTAAACATAAAATAACTCTGGTACAAGACATTTTAAAAGAAATGCCATTTGATAAAATATTGTGGGGGGAGGGGGGGAAATACAGGGGGATTAAAATCTTCAAGTGGATTTAAAGCCTAACAGGGGTTAACACCATCCATTCAAATTATTTACAAATGTATTTAATGTGTCAGGACTTGGAACATGAAATACTTTCTGTTCAAAATGTAAGTAAAATTAAAATGTTAGAACTTGGCATATTCCTGCTTTTCTTATTCTAACAAGCAATTTAAGGCTTACTATAAATGTCAAAAGGATATGGCAGTTTTTAGTTTATATTATCCAGCTCGTGCTAACATGAAATATCATAGAAATTCAGCCACTTCCCTACATCTAGGAGAATTTGACGGTTGTGTTTGCAGAATCTTAAACCAGAGATTACCTAGCTGCTTACCGTGAAGCGTCATGTTGGATTGGTGATGTGGCTGTGGTTGCAAGCTCTTTGCTGCTGCCTATCAGCACAGGAGATATGGCTGCATCCTTCCTAGGTCCTGAAGTTGTCCCTGTGGAATGAAGTGAAGACAAGCCAGACATCAGAGGCTAGTAAGTTTTGGACAGACATTTCGTGATTCTGCATTATTTCAGAACACTGACTAAAAGTTGAAACATTTTTGGAGTGCCATATATACAGTGAAACAGCAATCAAAGAACTCGTCAGTTGACAGGACTATGCATAGCATGCATTTCGGGATCACGCAGAATCAAATCTGTAGAATAAGTCACACTCCACAGCTTCCATCTTACTGCCCAAAGTTTGACAGACTTGAGCTGTTATCATTTTGTACAGTGGTCCACAGGATTCAGCTGGTTTCATAGATGCAGTTCTTGTGACATTCTACAAGATGTTACTTTTCCAAGTGTAAATAACATATCTTGCTTTCAATAAAACAGAACTGTTTCCCTGTTCCTTCTTCCCCCTTCCCAGTCAGTCTTGAATTACAAAATAATCTAGGTTGAAAGGTGAAGGCTGGAGGTCATGTAGTCTAATCCTCCATTCAAAGCAGGGCCAATAAGATCAGGTTTAAGGCGCTTGTCCAGTTAGGTTCTGAATGTTTCTACTGACAGTGAACCAACCTCTCTGGGCAACTTCTCTGGTTCCAGTGTTTGCCCACCCTCACAGTGAATGTTTTCTGTATAGCTAATCAGAATTTCCTGATTTGTAACTTTTTCCCATTGTCTCTTGCTCTGTTGCTGATGACGCTGAAGAAAGCAGGAAGAACTGTGCTGAATCGTATCTCCTTAAGGCTGGACGCACGCAGCTTTCTCAGCCTCACCAGTAGGTCATATGCTACAGACCCCTGACTGTCCTGATTGCCTCTGCTGGACTTCCTACAGCTTGTGAGTGTTCTCCTTGCCCTGTGGAGACCCAAACTGGACATAGCACTCTACAGATACAGTCTCACCACTCAATCAGAGGGGAACTGTCATTTCATCAATCTGATGATGACGATTTTACTATTATGGCCCAGTGTGATTGGTTACTCCATCACACAAGCACATTGCTGACTTGTGTTCAACTTGCTGCTCAGCAAGACAACCAGTTCTTTTCTGGCAAAACTGCTTTCTAGGTTGCCAGCACCCAGCTGGCCCTGTTACATGAGATCGGTCCAACCCAGTTGAAGGAACTGGCATTTCCATTTGGTTGAACCTAAACAGGTTTCTGCCAAACCGTCTTCCCAGCCTGTTAAGGTCCCTTGAATACTGCGTTTTATAGATAGGATTTAGTTAGACGACTTGCATACGGGTAGTCAGAGGTAAGTGGAGCAGGCAAATTAGGAGTAATCTCATCTAGTACACAAAAGCCATGGGTTTGGGCTTTTTTAATCTAGCGTCATTAGCTCTGTCCAGCCAACATCACTTAACTAAACATTAAGTATAGGGAAAACAACAAGTCTCAGCAAAAATTAAAGTGAAATCAGTGTTTACCGCTTTAAGTAATTCAGTCATGCTTAAATGTTTCTCAGCTCTGTGAACAGCAACATTATCTACCATCCATGCTGAAACATGAAGCAACACAACAAGCTTGTAATTCCAGCTTCAGTGCAAAATGTACAGACGTCTGAGGGATTAAGATTATTTAAAATTCTGCATTGATTTAAGATGTATACAAATATATACAATATAGTAAAATCACATGTTTTAAGATGTATTCTAGGGAGGCTAGCAGAAAAAATGGGTTCTTATCGGCCCTGCTCTAACACATTGTGCTTCAGTACCATGCAGTGAAAAAATCCCACCTAACAAAGAGTTAATTATCAGTGAAGGAACTCTTAGAAATATTATGGGGGTACATGTTGATTGTGTGTCCCTGGTAACTTGATAGTGTGCCAACCCATGACGAGAAGAATGGGTATGCATATAAAGACCAGAGGCCTCTTGCTTAGACTTCTGGCTTTATGATTGAGTATAAGATACTTAGAAATCATTTCACGTGACAGCAGGATCGGCAGCTGGATTTTACAAAACTCATACCAAACTAATAAAAACCTGGTGAGCAATTCCTATCAATTCCTAATACAAGAAAAGGCTGGCACACTGTCAACATACTACATTCATAGCAAAATAGATGTATTTCTCAAAAAAAGAAAATACATGGACTTGGAAGTGGCCAATACAGCCTCAAGGGGACTGTTCAAAGACCCGAGTTTGAAAATATTACCAGGGCTAAAAATGGAAGACAAGATAGGGAACTAAGTAAGAATATACTGAGGCCATTTGGCTGCACAGACATAAAACAGGGGTAGCAAGAAATCCTGAATAAGTACATTTCTAAACAAACAAATGTTTAAAAATGCATCTTGAAAAAGGCACACTAGTCAATTGAGGGAAAAGAAACAACAAAGAGCAAGCAGGTCTATGAATATATGAAGAAGACTAAATCAATAATGATCCTAAAATGGCCAAGCTACTAATAATTTTAAAATATACTATAAGAAAAAATAAAGAAAAGGAATATTGGCAAGTAGGAGATAATGAAGACCATGTTGATGTATAATACCTGCCTTTATAAAGCTGATGAAAAGAAATTATCAAGGGGGAAAAAAAAAAGACACAAATTCTTTAGTCTGAAGGATATATATTTCAGGGCTAAAGGGAATTAGTTAATGAATTTATGAAGTGACTGGTAATTATTTATGAAAAGTCATAGACAACTGGGGTGATACAAATGACAGCAAATTAATTAGATTTGCAGATGTTGGAAGACAGTATGAGACTGGAGACCTTGCAGATGATGTAGAGAAGCAAGAAACATGGAAAAAAAAATAGACACATTCACCCTTGGAAAAAAAAAAAAAGCTCATATATGGTGTGATAATCTAAATCCTGACACCAACGAAAGAACCTGGAGTAGCAAAGAATAGCAAAAAACAAACTAGATGTAAACTTGTAGGGCAAGCTACCCCCAAAGCAATTATAGATGTCTTCTAAATGGTAATGTTAAGAATACTATTTTCAATTTGGTTAACTTGGTATAAGAATGATTTAAAGTAGATTAAAGACTCAATTGAGAAAATTCAAATAGCTGTACATTTCTGCTTGAGACACAGACAACTGAAACATGGAGAAAGTGGGGAAATATAGCAGTCTACATTTTGAAAGTGTAAACACTAAGAATGAAGAAATACAGTTGAGGCTGGTTCAAGCAGTAATGGGATGAAAGTAAGCAAAGGAAAATCTAGGTTGATAAACATGAAAGAAATCTTTATGAATTGAATAATACTAATATTCATAATACTTAACATTTATATAGTACTTCACATCTTCAAAGCACTTCACTAATAGTAACTAATTGCTCTATTCGATTGTAGGGAAGAGTCTTCCCTCAAGGGAAGAAGTTCCAGATCTTGAATCCCTGAGAAGCTACATTAGAAAACCTACAGAAAAACAAACACTACACAGAAAAATTAGCCCCTGGAAATGCACAGATTCTACGAGGTAAAATGATTTTCCTTTTCTGGCTTCTTTCACATATGGAAAAGGAAAGCTATGCGTGCTATACAATATCATGCAAGATGCTATTTCCCCAAAGAGATACAAAGGGAAAAATAGTTCTTTCTTTGTTTCAAGGTAGAGATATTTCAGGAAGGGTGTGAAGAAGAAACAGAAATATAAAGTGCCGAATATTGCAGAATGCAATGGATAGAATCTAGTTTAGTTTCCCAGCCCAAAAGCAAAATTTTCCAGGGCAGAAAGGAATAGAAACACACATTTCTGTACTCCAGTGCTTTTTAACTAGACAAGTTGTTAGATTTTAGTACAAATTGACATAGCTGCTGGTGACACCAATAAAAACAATTTACTGCTGAAAAGATCTAAGACTTGAGGATTGCTTCGTCTGCTTAAAGTTTTGCTGGTAAAACTAAAAAAGTTTGGCTACAAGACACAAACACCTGCTAAAGCACAGGAATAAAAATTAAGGAGCAAACTGAAATAGGAGACAAAATGCAACAGTGAGAGAGTAAAAGCTGATTGCCTAAGCTGATCTTACCAGGGGGAGAATTAAGCTTCTACCCTGAAAAGAGAGCAGAAGCTGCCCCTTTCACTCCACAAGGTAATGGGACCAGGTTAACAACGCTCTTGTCCCCATTACTAAACATCTGCAGGGAGAAAGGAAAAGTGAGTTTATTAGGAAATCAACCGTTCCAAACTCACTGCATGCACGGTAAGTGAGCAGTCCTGTGGGCAGTAAAACCTTCCACCCTTCCAGCATGGTAATGGTTTCCTGATTAATCATTTTATCTTCTGGGGGAAAAAAAAATATCTAAGAAGACAGAGGTAGTTCAACAAGACAACACCAACATCTGGTATGACTACCTGTGTTGCTGTGGAGAGACACTATCATGGGTTGCACCATCCCCCAGATACACCTACTGTTCCCAGTGGTACAGGGGGATTAGACAGAGAGCCCAAAGGCCCACATCAGTGTCAGTGACACTGCACTAAGGTGTGCTTGGAGACAGTCCCCATCCTGAAGACTATACAATTTAAATAGACAAGACAGATAAAGGCATGAGAAAAATAAACTTCTGTAGCAATAAGTTAACATCCATTTAAGTTTTCAGTGGACAAGTTTCTGCACACAGTATCCAGCACTGCTGTTTTCTGACCAAAAGGCCACCTTAAGTTATGTGGCTAAATAACATCAAGTTTCATGCCTCAATATGTCATCTTGTTGACTTCATTCCCCTTTCCCACATTGCATGGCTTAGCTAGAGCTCAGGTAAATGCACTGCAGTAGAGGGGTCACTTCATGTTGACACAACAGGTCTAAGACAGACCCCAGGCTTGCTGGATCAGCACTCTGACGCAGTAAGGCAAATACCATATTTTTATAAATTTCACCACAGAAAACAATGTTAGCATCCCTCGTTTTATTTTTTGCAAGATGCTACATAACTGCTTCCTAATAAAAAAAATAAGTTCTGAAGCAGAAATCCCAGGTCAGCAACAGATGGGAAGATCCAGCATAAGCAAGGTCAGAGACAGCTACATCCAGAGCTAACCAGAATTAAGAAACTTGACATTGTGCCCTGGTGATTCCCAAAGACGGAAAAAACACTTTACAAGTATGTGTGTATGCTTGTTAAAGGAGTCCAAACATATAACAGAGGGAAGCCAATTAAAAAGGTACTAAATACAGAAGACTTCAACTTCAGTGATTAGTGCTAGGTAATTTGCCTTGTGATAAACAAGCCATTCAAATCAGTAATAGACCTGAGGTTGTTCCACAGCTTGAAAGCATTTCTCTGAACTTTATCTGGTATCACAGCAAGTGCCAATGTTTATAAGTTAAATTCTGCCATGCAGCTCTTCATCTTCAAAGCTAGCAATCCCAGTAAGTGTTTGCGAAAGATACCCACCATCTTCAGACATTATGCTGACCACTACAATCACTAAATCAGCACAGGGGCAGCTCAGTTGCTATGCGCAATAGCCAGGTGCAGCTTGTAACTTCTCCCAAGTACTACAAAATGAAATGAATGAATGAAGAAGAGGCCAGGTTGGATTTTTTTCCCTGAATCTATGGGAAATAAATTACTTTTTGGGTACTATCCCTATCCAAGGAACAAAACCCATCATCCAACTGTGAAAAATCTCAATTTCATCACTACAGTATTGTGAAGGAGGGGGAAGAAGGAAGAGGAAAAGAGAAGAAAAAAATAATGATAGCTGAAAAAAACATAAAAGAAAACCATCAGTGAAAATTGCCCCTGAAACTTTGCAGAATTGTAACGGCTTTCTCTTGCTTAAATTGATTGGTGTAGCAATGTTATAAAATGACTATTAGGATTCATTGTGCACAACAGAAAGTGTGAAATGTCAGCAGACTATACAGCAAAAGTAATGGGTCCTGAACCCCTGTTAGTCAAAAATGATTTTGTTTCAAATTAGAAATTGATTTTTTTGGACACAAGCCCTTTGCAGGCTTCCAACTTTTGTAGCTGTGCCTTGGAAGAGATTAACCTCAGCCACTGTTTGGGTCCAGGCTGATGATACCCTTTTGAAAGTTTCTTCACAGGGACTGCTTTTTAATGTTGGTACAGTCTTAACCAATAACACAAGTTATTTGTTCCTTTGAGAACTGCACCACATTTCTTCTCATTTTGCCATTTTCTTTATTTTTATGCTGACATACACGGCAAACTGGCTGACAAGTTAAAATAAAAAAAAAAAAAAAAGCTAGCTCACAATTGAACCAAGGATTATGTTCAAGGCTCGGCAGTGAAACATCCAAGCTGCTTTTGTTCCCAACCTTTTCTCTTCCTAAGAAAGACTGCTTCTCTGCTCCCTAAGTGGAGGTACCAAGATAAAAGCAGGATAGATTCTAGCCATACAGACATCCCTGTGTGGCAAAATATCAGGTTGTGATGGTGGAGCCATTACTTGGGGAGGAAAAGAATGTGAAGAAGATTACATTTCAAGAGCAAGCCCCACTGCACTTACTCTCTCTGCTTGCTGGGGAAGGGAAAAGAATTGTTGAAGTAGCTTTTTGAGATTAAAGGGCTATTTTTTCCTTCCATCAGGAACACCAGCCAAGAAGATCACTTGTTATTTACGAGGTTTTCTATGCTTTTTTATTACTTTAAACGTAGCTACCTTCTCTTGGGTTGTTTTAAGCAACTTGCAACCCTCGCCCTCTAATTATGCATTTTACTGATACACTGTTGAACACAAATATACAATTTCTAAATGCCATCAGCACACTCATGGCCCAGCAATACAGTATGCTTCCCCTTACCTTTCCTTGACTTGGTGCCTTCCTTCTTGGTTTGCATCAGAAGGGTTTGCCCATCTTCCATGTTGGCACCAAAACCAACCATTTTCTTCCCCAAACTGCTCCCACCACTGCTCCCTGGTGTTCTGTAGGTTTTGTTCACTGGAGGTGTCCTCAGAAAATAATCTTCATGTTTCAACACCGGTACACTGGGAAGAAAGAAAGATCACGCTATTACATGATGCATTCAGCCCTTTTAACACTACACCCAGCCCTCTCCCCCACTTTCACTCTCCAGGAATGAAACCATCATGCTGCTGGTTGAGCTTTTGTTGAATCCATTTGCAATGTCTGAAAGCAGGATGCCTAAGGGTTGAAGAGTTACCAACATACTTTATCAGGAGTCTTTGGTTATCAGAAGCTGGCAGCACTCTGTTTTGTGGCATTTGGCACATTCCCTACAGCATTAGGTCCTGGATTTCCTGAGTGGTTAGGACAGAACAAGTGGGATGAAGGTACAGAAAGTACTTTGTCCAGCACAGTGGAGCAAGGTTGGATGAAAGAGTAATTAAAAAAAAAAAAAAATGCTCACTTTACTGGGATAAAGGGGAAACAGGAAGATTATGTGCAGAGAAAACTGGAGTCATAGTTGCAAAAGGGAAGCAGATCATAGAATTGTTTAGGTTGGAAAGGACCTTTAAGATCATCACTGCCAAGTCGACCACTGAGCCATGTCCCTAAGCACCACATCTACATGTGTTCTAAATACCTCCAGGGATGGTGATACATTGATTCAAGAAGAAAAGAGATGAGAGGAGACAAAAAGAGGTGAAATGAATGAACAGAGGTACTTAAAAGCAGGCTATGGAATGTATGAGTAAACTGGTGGACAGAATATTGGTGCAGCAAGTGGAGCAGTCTGAGTAGAGTACAAAGAGAGAAAGCTAACCAGAACTATCGTGATTCGAGATGAACTCAGCAAAAGATCATAAACACTACACAGATAGTGCTAGGAGGCAAATTTGGTGATGCAAGCGTGACTTCAGTCTCTGCAGACACAGGCAATGAAAAAACATTTTGGGAAGACAGGAGGCTATGGACACCCATCCTTCTCTCAATAAAGACAACCTAGTGCTTTCAAATTCTGCTCTCAGGGAAACAAATACTGCTTTAAATAAGGATTCCCAACATGTATATGTCATTAGCCCTGTCATTGTTATAACAAGCAGTTAAAAACATAAAAAAAATTCTCTGTTTTATCCACATGAAGGAATACAATTCATCCCAAGATTATATTGCTCTACTTGCAACCACGGGAGTGACATAAAGCTTTCCTACGTTAACAGGAGATTAAATAAATCTTTCTCCTATTTAAGCACCAATTTTACATGGGCAAACCAAAGACTGCCACTGAGTTTGTATTCTTCAGGATACAGCTTTGTGGAGATTGATTCACAAGAATCTTTTACTTACTGCTTACTTTTATTTAAAGCTTACACTACTGAAGTTACTGTACATCCAAGGAAAATGCAGATATCTGATGTTCCCATCAGAAAATGATTGCTAAATTAAAAGTTTCAAATCAATGGGCTGTATAAGCCATTGTTTAATAGGGCCCACTGTGCCTGTTAGGCAATTAGTATTACTCCTATATTATTAATGCAGAACATTATATAATGGCTTATGGCCTGTAATAACTGGCTGAAGTGTTGTAAAAAACTTCTCTGAATAACCTCCGTTTACTTTAGGGCTTCAAACTGTGTGGCCACTGATAATATTGCAAAGTGTTTTTAAAATTTATGGTGGACTAAATTAGTATCCTATTTGAATTATATGAAATTATTAACCTACTAATTCCTGCAACCAAGAGTACAGCAAGAGCAGGGTTTGGACCCTAATAACTGTTCAAACAGGTTTTAAGGTGTAATACTTGACCAGATTTCTCTGATAATACAGGACTTGATATTCCATTTGCCTGTACTTGCATGATTAACAGCATTTAAAAACACCGAGGCTGTCATTATTTAGATGCTTTCTGAGTTTTTAAAGTACGTTTAATTACAACCTACAGATCTTCTGTGAAGACAGTGACCTTTGGCTTGTAGATGAGGAGGCGATTACTTGACTGCTTCACTGCAATACCTTTTACATGGTGCAGTTACCTCTAGAATACCAAGTTCTGGTTTAAATAACGCTACGGCAGAGGCAATTCAAACAGATACAGACACCAAGAAGAAGTTAGAGAAGCTAATTTATGAGGAAATAACAAAAGCACGTGTATTTGCATTTATAGCTCACTTAATTAATTAAAGCCCAGTTCTTTAGTATTTAATAAAAGAAAGCTCACACTAAAGTTTTGCTCATGTAAGGATAGAGAGTCCAATCCTAAAATGACAAACATTTAATCTGAGAGGTGTGCAGACCAAGGAGGGAAAGGCATAATGCAAAGAGATACAAAAAGTCAGTAATTAACAATGTACCAAAATTAAACAAAGAAAACAACAAAAACCCCAATCTATTTCAGAACATAGTTACTCATTCACCTGTGGAATAATTAGTAAAATGAATGACGTGACCGTTGCAACATGGAAAATTTAAAATTAACATATGGTCCAAAGTGATCAGTTATGTATAGCTAGGGAGATTAAGTGACAAAACAGGTCCTTCTCTATTTTCAAATCCAGCAATCCATTATATCACTCAAATGCAGCGTGGTTAGTAGGACTTCCTGCAGGGCACCACGATTTCTGATGAATTTTCATGCTATTCCCTGAAACTACACAACAGAGAAGACTGTCTAAATAAAGACCTTATTAACCCGCCTAACCTACATATTAAGGCAGGAGTTGTAGAGTAGCATCGCCAGGAAAGAAGTGAGTCTCAGCACTGCTGCCTCCTTATGAATATCGAAGTACATCACCAACAAAGGAAAACACACCTTGAATGTTTTTTCCATTTTGTCTGAGCCTCATATCGCGATATCCCTGCTGAGTGTGAATGGCAAATTTTAAATGTCATTCAGGACCCATTGAATACTGCTAGTATTTGCATTCCTTAAAAAGTAGAAAAACATTAACCTTTTGTTTTATTGAATTAAAATGCCATGGAAATGCTGATGTAGTCTTCAGAGACTGAAATACTTTTACAAAGAAGAATAGCTGTCATTTATTAGACACAAAGAACAATTACTTGATAGGATGCTTTCTGACAAAAAGCAGATTGGTATTCTCATCATAGAAAAGGCATTGTAAAAAAACCCAGCACAGACCTCTGAGACTTGAATAATTTAAAGCTGCATTTGGTGCAATTTGAATTTTTCTTTAGGGAGGCAAAGTTAAATACCTTTAATTTGTTCTAATTATTTCAAATTTGCAAGTTAATTATGGCTGATCATTAAATAACAAAAAGGACTATCGTCTCCATAGAGTTTTACCTCCTACCCTCTGCATTACTTAAGCTAGATTTTAGTATGCATGAATTAACTTTCTAAATAATCACACGGTTTGACTAAATGGCTCAGTAAAATGAGCTCTGATCCTCAGAATGAGCATTAATGGACATTAGAAAGGCTATTGGGACCCATGTTACTTACATTATAAGTATTTTTAATGGGGTCTTATTTACTAATCTTTATGTACTGTTCAAGTTAGGGCACCATATAGATACATTATTCTGCTTTAATAGAGGAAAGTCAGTTCTTCAAGATACTAAAACAAATGTCCATTTAGAGCCAACTAAATTCATTTTTAAATTAATGCAGGAAAACTCTGATAGAATTTAACTTGTTTTAGCTGCTTATCCTGATGAATCAATCCAACATAATGGTAGCCTTGGTCTGCAAATGGAGTTTTACGGATCTATTGAATCGCTAAGCAACTCAAGCAGCTAAGACTCTTGCCTCAGAGTAGCGTTTACTATCAGCATGTGTACGCCCACGAGGTTTCATGTCTTCCCTGCTTAGTACCTAGCGCTCATCTGACAGGTTCCCAGTCATCGATCCCAAATTTGTATGCTCACCTTTCACTGAACTTTGATCTTTCCATGCATTTTTCACTGCAGATCAGTGGCATCCAGAGAACATGACTACATTATAACTAGTCAGAAACCCAAAACACGAGGCAATTCATGCCTCCAGTATATATGTTCAACAGATGGCTGCCTTAATGGTACCCTACTGCACCCTGTTGAGGCAAGGGCTTGTGAGTTTAACCATTATCAAACTAACAGATTGCCGTGGTAGGTTAGCTCCAAAAGCAAACATGTTGGAATGTTATTTTCCTGTTCCACAATTTCTGTTTTAAAAATAAAATAATTAACAGTTCATGTGTGCAATCTGCTGCAATTATATCAGGCCAAGAATGCATAACACTTAATGATGCAAAACTGGTGATAAGTAGACAACCCAAGCAATACGTTTTTGTAGTTGGAACCCGTATTGCTATTTCAGATGCAATTTGACAAACAGGCTGAAAATTGCTTCCCCCCCCGCCACTTTGGCTGGGAGAGTTTTCAGCCAGATCAGCTTCCAGAGTTAGCTCGGTATAAAGCAGCAGTATCACAAGTGCTGGGACATATCCCTGGAAACATTCAAGGCCAGGTTGGACGGGGCTCTGAGCAACCTGATCTAGTTAGCGGTGTCCCTGCTCCTGCAGGGGGGTTGGACTAGATGACCTCTAGGGGTCCCTTCCAGCCCAAAACATTATATGATTCTATGATAGAGGAAGGTATCAATATATCACGGGTTCTTCTTTTCAGCAGGGGTCCAAATTTAGATCAGTTTAAGTCAAGTTATTAGACCACACTTTTGAAAACCACCAGTTCCAAAGTGGGACCGTTTGGGAAGTTGCTTGTCTGCATGGCAAATTAAAAAGTATTTGCAGGGAGAAAGGAAGGACTGTAGACTTTGGATGAGTGGATCTAAAAAGCAACAACAGTGGTCTCCTGAACAACGACAACTTTTTCAGTCTTCTCAAATGTATTGCGTTACTCTGTGTAAGCCCCTACTTCCAGAAATAACAAGTGCCACAGATTTTTAATGGTTGGACTTGATGATCTTAAAGGTCTTTTCCAACCTATATGATTCTATGATTCTATGATTTTTCAAGTGTTTTTTTTCCAACAGTGTGTCAGGTTAACAGTGCGATTACCCTAAACTGTAAGGCAAAGACGACAAGAAACTGATGCCATAAAGAAGCTGGGCCCCTGGACA